AACCAAGCTCAGTTTGCTCTCAGAAAGGACTTCTGCCACCCTAAAGGCCAGAAGACAACATGGTAATCCCTAAAGATTTTTGAACAAAATCGTTTGGGACTCAAGAATTTTGTGGGGACTCTGGGTAAGATGTATGTTTCTTTCCTCTACTTTTCTGGATATGTTACATATCAAGCATATATTTATTTATGATAAAAGCTTAACTTTAAAATAAGAGGAAAGGAAATTGGGGCAAAATATTCAGTGTATATTCAACTGAAGTCACTGTTTGATAGAATCTATTCTGAAGGAACCCAATCAAACTACATTAGTTGGCAGAGCGTAAACATTGGATGCATTAAGTATATGTTTAGGATTGATTACTCCTTAAAGAAAATTCAAGAATTAGACTAGAGGTTAAACCATAAGCCCTAGCCTTTCAATCTCTGGGATGGTTTGGACCGAAGTCAAATATAAATGAGAAATGAGTGGAAATATTTTGCCTTCTACACTTTGATTTTTATTGAGTGTGTCCATCATGTAAGTAGAATTTTTATTGAGTGTGTCCATCAACTGTGCAGAAATATTTTACCTTCCATGTTTTGACTTTCATTGAGTGTGTCCATCATGCATAGCACAACGTCAAGTGCCAGGTGGGATTAAAAGGTGAATAAGATAAATTCCTACGATCAAGATGTATAAAATCTGGAAAACCATATTAAACAACGGCTTTCAGAGTCAATAAACTGCTGAAATCACTCCAGCTTTCCAATCCGAGATGAAATAGATTTGCAACATCTCTCAAGAGTACAGATAGTAAATTAGAGTTGATGTTTCATATACATGCAAATTATTCTGCTTCTCAAATGTTGGTTTTAATAAACTTTCATTACTCCTCAGGGAAAACAAAGCATATGCAATAATTCCTATTTAGTCCTTAAACATTTTACACTCCTTTTCAATCAAGAATGATCATTTATTATCATTTTTAATGGGAACATGCTTATTTATTAGTTTCAACTTCAAAATTTTTTTTATTTCAACAAGATGAAAAATTTGGCCATAAATGTTTCTTGACTTACATTCATGTTAAAGCAATCCCTAAATATTTATTTAGTCTTTTTAGCAAACAGCAATTTAGTCTTTTAAGAGAATAGTCGACTGTGTAATAGACAATGTGGGAACCTGCTCTGGTTCTCATTTTAAAGACTAATTAGATTTTTCCCCAGATGCACACTTCTTGTCAATCTCCAAATGGTGATAACATCTATACTGAAAATAAAATAAATCTGATGTTAAATGTACAGTTCTTATTGTTGTTTGAACCATTTTCTCAGGAAAAATATTATCATAAAATTTAATTTACTGTGATGTTGTAGGTTAGTTATCATTGAGAAACCACAAAAGAATCCTTATTAGTTTAGAAAGAAATGCAAAATTCAGATAAAATTGAAAATAAGTATAAGTGCTTTATGAAGAGTACATAGGAGGACTAAGACTCAAAACTAATAATTATTATTCAACATTACAAAACATTAACGATAACAGGAAATTTGTAAAAGGCTTTATTTATGTTTTACACTGATCTTTCATTTCTGTCTCAATTTTAGAAAGATTTTCAAGAAAAAAATAACCAAAATTGTTCTCTGTCCCTATAATTAGATTTAAATTAGATCTGTAAAATACTACTCTCTGCATACCACCACCCAAAACAGAAGTGAATCCTTACGCAATCGCCATATTTCTTTGAATCCCAGAATTCCCAATTGTAAGGCACACCATTATTTTACGTGCCACTAATAAAAAAAAATAGTATCTATGAAAGGATTTAATGCCATTGATTTTACGGTGCATCTCAGTTTTAGAGATGCTAAAATGCGGGGAAAAAAGTGTTGTAGAATTAATGAAATACAGTAAATGCTTCATGGCCAGCCCTGGCGGTCTAGTGGTTAAGATTCAGCACTCTCACCGCCATGGCCCGGGTTCATTTCCCGGTCAGGGAACCACACCACCCATCTGTCAGTTATCATACGGTGGCAGCTGCATGTTGCTGTGATGCTGAAAGCTATGCCACTGGTATTTCAAATACCAGCAGGGTCATCCATGGTGGACAGGTTTCAGTAGAGCTTCCAGACTAAGACAGACAAGGAAGAAGGACCTGGCCACTCACTTCTGAAAAAATTAGCCATGAAAACCCCATGGATAGCAGCAGAGCATTGTCTGATACAGCGCTGGAAGGTGAGAAGATGGTGCAAAAAGATTAGCAGAGTTCTGCTCTGCTGTCCACAGGGTCTCTAGGAGTCAGAATTGACTCTACAGCACTAAGAAAAATATGTTTCATAGAACAATATCTCAAGTAACTAAATCCATTAATGATGAGCCAGAGGAAGGGCCTGAGAAAGTATCTTCATTCAGGACCACTTTGTATACTGCTAAGTTAGGTAGTATCTTTGGGGATGAAACTGAAGGGATCTTAGGAAGATCCATGGCTCTGAAGCATCCCTCTTACTTTGATTAAAATTATTTTATTTATATTGGAATATCAACTGAAATTACATAAAAGAGAATAAGGCTGCTTTTTAAAAATGTGAACGCATGATGGGAAGTGACATAAGCAGATCATCAACATATCTGTTTATTAATGTACTTATCAATAGGTATATTTGTTAAATTCAAGTTCTCAGCCATTCACCAGAGGTATAATCAAGGATTGAGGGGGGAAAGATACCTTCTGTGCTCATAATGAACTCACAGCCTAGCAGAGGTGATAGATAAGATAATTTTAAAAAGTAAATGTGCTGGTTTATATTGTAACAAGTTGTTTAAGCTGGGAAACATGTTGTCAGAACCCCCTTATTATGGGCCAGGTTAGGGTCAGTCAAAATAAGAACTGGCACTAGATTCTAGAAGGCAGAAGTGAAGCAGTGATCACTGTAGTTAGACTCAGTGATGGACAAATGCAGACATGCCCAGTGGGTTCCAGCTTGTCTTTGCTCGCCTCCATTCCACGTCCTGACTGCTGACCCTGTTGATCAAAGGCGGCCCCAAGCCCACTGCCAGGTTCTTGGCTGTGGAGCCACAGGGTGTGGTTGCACAGACGTGATGCTTCTCTTAGACCTCCTAATGCATTTCTCCTTTATGGTTCCACTTCAGCAGCTGGGTGTGCTTGGTTTCTCAGATTGAGTTGGTAGAAACTCTTCTCATGCTCCAACTTCTCTTCTGGACCAGCTCCTTCCAAGATCATGAAAGGTCCAATTCCTAAAATGAGTCCTTTATCCCATAACATGCATGGTAACCGTGCTTTCCTGACTGGCCCTGACACACAGAGCACAAGGGCTAGAAGGAGGGGAGGACAGGCCTGTGGATGCACATACAGAGGTTAGAGGTCATCCTATCCAGGCTGAGGAGCTTGGCCACAGCGGAGGGTTTATATATAGGGACCAAGAGCAAAGGCAGGGCTACGGAACAATCAAGGCTATGGGAACAACTTGCCAAAGAATGGCTTCCTGAGACGGCATGGCCATTTCTTATGGCTTTAGGGTAAGATGCGAGGCTCAGGATGTAGACTGTGGATTATAGGGCCGGACATTATCCTAAAAGGGTTGTCTAACCTGCTTGTCTCACTCTTCCTTGGAAGGCCAATAAATAGAAAGTTAAAATGTAATGTTTTTCACCCTCTGCCATGACGTATTTGGAAGAAGGGGTAGAGATTTTATACAGAGCTTAAGAAATATATCTAAGAGGTTTTCTATGATTGACTTTTTTGGTAATAGGCTTTTTACCATTGAGACTACATTACTGAAAATGTCTTTCCTTTGCCTTCCCACATAAACAGTAGCTTATCTGAGTTTAGAAATCTAGGGTCTAATTCTTTTTTTCCCAGAATCCTGGAAACATGCTCATCTTCTAATATTTAGAATAGCTAATAAGGGGCTCAAGGCTAGACTGATTCTCTTTCCTTTGCAGGTAATGTTATTTATTTCTAACCATGAAACAGGCATAATTTTCTACTTTTCCGGGGCATTTAGAAATTTCACCAAGATTATTTCCAGACATGGATCTGTTTTTAATTTTTTTTTATGGCACTCAATATGTGATTGTAAACTGAATAGCAAAGATTTTAGTTGTGTATATTTTCAAAGATATCAGCTTGGGGAATATATTCTTTGATCTTCTATTAATGTTGCTTCTCCACTCCATTCTCTCTCGGGATTCCTAATATGAGAAGAGTCTATTTCCTGTGACTATACTCATATCACTTTATTCTCTCATAATTTTTTTTACTCTCTGAAATTTTGCTCTATTTTCAGAAAAGTTTCTTGAGTTGATTTTCTAACTTATTAATTTGGCTTTTAACCATGTCCATTCATTTTGTCTGCAATCTTTTTTTTTCCCTAAGAAATCTTTTTGCTCTCAGATTTCTCCCATTTCTTAGAATCCTGGTCTTATTTTAGCAATGTAATTGCCTTCGAATCTCAGTGATTCCATATTTTTCCCTTTTCTTTCAGGTCTCCTTCATTCAATTTGCTGATTCCTTCTCTTTTTGTAAATACAGATGAGAGTCTGGATTGGGACCTGATTTAAGCAAATTCATATTTACAGATGGGTTCAGTACGGGTGGCTGATAAATACAAACAGTGCATGTCTCCTGGGGTTCACAAAGGATCTTGGAGTGGTGAGTAGGTGGGCTTCCATATGGGTGTGGGAACCAGGAGAATTCTAGAAGACAGAACTCCTTACTCTAGTCCAGTGAGCTGGGTGATGGCGGTCTTGGGGCAGTCAAATCCTTAGCAGAGTGTATTGCCAAAGGAAGCCTAAGGGATGCGGTGGGGATAAGGTTTCCAGATTTAGCAAACCCCAAATTAGGATAGCTAGTTAAATTTGAATTTCAGAAAATCAACAAATAATTTTTAGTATAAGTAGGTGCCAAATCTTGCTTGGGCTTACACTAAAAAATTACTTGTTGCTTATCTAAAATTCCTATTTAAGTGGGCGTCTTGTATTTCATCTGGCAACCCTAGGTAGGGGGTGAATACTATATTCAGAAGCTTCGTGGGCAGGGATTCTCAAGTCCTTTGCCTCACTCCCTTCTTATTTTTCTTAGATAGGCTCTCTTCCAACCCTTCTTGTGAAACCTTAGGAAGTTGGCTGTGCAACAATTGTAAGAAGGAGGAAAGTAGGTCCTGGAGACACTAGAGTGGAGGTGAACTGAGGTACCATTCTGTCTGTTGTTTCTCTGTATTTGATGTGGGTGCCTGAGGTTCTACCTGAGGTACCGTCTCCTTTTCCATTGGCCTGACCAGGCTCCGTGAGATCTCACTTTAGCACACCGCCACTTTCTATAGCATTCTGTCTATTCCAACTGAAGGCTGGAGATGTACAAGTTGGCTAACTGCTGCTCCCATTGCAGGATCCTGGTGTGATTCCCTACGTCCAGCAGTCCCAGTCGACATCAAAGCCCCCACTCTGACCATTCCAAAACTCTCCCTGACACCCTGTCTTGGCTGCTGGAAATCTGAGGTTTGGGGTCACCTGTTCACTGACTTCCCAAGCAGGCCCTCCCTTTGCTTGGTCATAAAAAGAGCATAAAGGACATAGTTTATGATGATGTGGTCAACTGAACTTAGTAGCTCTGACTTCAGACTTGCTATAATTTTTTCTCTTTCTGTGGTCTGTGGTCTATGAAATCAAAAGAAACAAAGAATTTACTGGTCCATTAGAATTTAAATCAAGGAAATCAGGCAAGACCATCAATAAACAATGTGAACTGGCAGTTTGCATACCTCTGCAGGAGCTCTCTGAACCAGACCACAAACCATTGGGTAGACACAAGAGGATGCTGCTTCCCACGAGGTCAAATCCAGGGTGACATCGGACCCCACAGGCTGCATTAAAGTGGTTGTTGCAAGTGTTGTGGATAAAATAACCGTTTTCAGGAGGCCTCAGGGCAGGGCAGTGGACAACTGACATTTATAGAAATAAGATAAAAAAGCAAAGTTAGCCTTTGTCCAGGAAGCATCCTCCCCCAACCCCTTTTTTTTTTGTTTGTTTAAGAGGACATTTTATACACACGGCTAAATCACCCACAGCATTCCCATTTACTGCATTTGAATTTCTAAGTGCATATTTGGAAGAAGAATCCTTATATCTCACTCCTTCTAGGTATTTACTTCCAATTAAATTTAAAATACAGACTAAATATTATTTTTTAAGCTTTAAACTTCTTAAAATTTTGATATCTTCGTGGATACAAGATTTTCTAGCTCTTGATCTCCATATGTCGTTAGCTATTTTCCTTCTTAATTAAGGTGGCATGAGATAAAGAATAATTAAGGCCAGCAAATCATGTTTGCTACAAATCCCAAAAGCAATGGCTTCTTGTACATGTTATGGGTTAATTAAATTAAATTAAATTAAATTAAATTTTAGTTTTTGATATGATAATATCAAGATACTTTACTTGTAAAAATTTTTTCTTTAAATGGATTTAACTATCACCAGGGCCAAAACTAGCTCATTTGTTATTCAAATTTGTTGTTAAATTTGTGGCTTTTTTTCTCCTAGATTCATTTTAGATCTTTTCCAAGTACTAAATCTTTCTAGTTTCATAGTTGCATTACTCCTGGGGTCTTATCCCCTTTCTCTGGAGCAAGATATGAAGAAATGCTATGTAACAAAGGCAAAGAATTCCCCCCAAATATGATTAGGGAAAGGAATCTGAAAGATCATTCTAAATGAATTGGATGAAAACACTGGCATTATTTCCCTAAAAGAGATCAGCTTTTATGTTTCCTACTTACCAGTGGTGGGAGACTTACCTTTGCAGGTCTGGCCGGATGCCTGATATCCCTCCTTGCAGACACAGTCTTCAGGGGACGTACTTCCCGGTGGAGAGGTGTGATTTTCATCAGGACATGGAAGGCAAGTGCTGATTCCTCCCGGCGAACCTTCTGGTTTGTATGTCCCTGATGGGCAAGCTGTGGGCAGACAGCGAGTCAGGAAAGTCCTTTATATGTGGTACATCAATTGATAGTTAACATTTTTGAAACTAATTATGGGGTAAAAATCCAAATAATAGCTTTTATAGAAATAATAGTATAATTCAAGCAGAGAGAGAAACCAAGATTTCTTTTTTTTTAAAGAGTGATGTAGTTTGTTAATTGCAGGTTAGGCAGTGGCCTCTTATGTCCCACAATTAGTTACAATCACAACACAACACAGCATGATATGTCTGGGCTTATTTGTGGGAAAATTCAAAGTAGCAATGTATGTTAAGAGACTAGAAGGAATCAATGATATTAGACACAAAAAAATCTTGATAAACATAGTATACACCATACTCCATCGCCCCTGACCTGGGCAGGTCCACCTCCCCCAGTGGATCCCAGCACCCTCTCCCAGCAGACAGAAGAACTGTAGATACACAAAAAGTGGTTAGCCCATTGTTTCTGCTCAAAGCAATCAACAAAGGATAGGAACAAGTGAAGGGCTTAAGGGAAATAATCCAATTGATGCGAAACAGGCCCTTTGATGAAAAAAGAATTAAAGACCCTGCTTTACCCAGGCTCAAGAAAAAAAGTTTAAAAGCAAAGTTTAATTGACCTTGCTTCCTAGCCTCCCTCTGCACTGACAATGTGGCTTTGAATTTGTACTTACTCTCTCTGGAGTTACACATTTGTAAAATACTCAAAATTAAGAATTCACTAACAGAGAAATTGTGGAACAAAGGGATTTGCGGTCTCAGTTAAGCCAATTAAATGTAGCAGAGTCCCAGTACGCACTTGATTATTAAAAAACTGTAGCAACTAGGGGCCGGCGTGGTGGTGTAGTGGTTAAGTTCGCGCGCTCTGTTTTGGCGACCTGGGGTTTGCAGGTTCAGATCCCAGGTGTGGACCCACACGCTGCTCATCAAGCCATGCTGTGGCAGTGTCCCACATACAAAATAGAGGAAGATTTGGCACTGATGTTAGCTCAGGGACAATCTTCCTCAAGCAAAAAGAGGCTGAGGGCCAATCTTCCTCACCCCAAAAAAAACAAAACAAAACAAAACAAAAAACCCAACTGTAGCAACCAAGTAATGTGCATTCATGTGATGATATTTTATATAAATTATCTCATTTAATCCATTAATAAGTAGTATTAATAATTATTAATATTGTTATTAATAAATGCATTGATTATATTAGTATTATTATATCCATTTTAAAAACGTGAAAATGGAGACAGATATTCAACTACTTGACTAAAGTGATGAAGTCAGTAGGTGACAGAACTAGAATTTCCTTTAGTACTTAAAGTAACATTGGTTTATTACATTTTTATGTCGAAAATTCAAATTACATTCATCTTGTTGTTACTTAGTAAGTCAAACATTTTTAAATGGTAGTGCTCCTTTCCTCTTCCTCTTGTCATTTGTTTATGCCTATTTCTGGGTAGATAAGCTCTGGCTTATTCATTTAGTTTTTTAAGAGACTATTTTTTAGATCAGTCTTAGGTTTACAACAAAAGGTTGAGTGGAAGGTTAGAGTTAGAATCTTAAAGCAATATATATATTAAATATATATTAAAATATATTTTTATATATATTAAAATATATTAAAATATATTTTTATATATATTAAAATATATTAAAATATATTTTTATATATATTAAATATATATTAAAATATATTTATATATATATATATATTTGCTTTTGTCCTAGGGACTGTTCTATGTACTTTATAAATATTAGCTTTATAATCTCCTTAAAAACCTAAGAAGTAAGTAATTTTATTAAGCCCATTTTATAGATGAGAAAACTCAGGCACTAAGAGGGTAAATAACTTGCCAAAGTTACACAGTGAGTAAGTGGCAGAGCTGGGATTTGAACCCAGATAATTTGGATTCAGAGGCCAGTTGCTTTACCACCACATGTGCTGTGTCTCAAATCCAGGTCTCTTGGATGCTAAAGCCTTTATTTTAACCACTATAATATACTAAAAATATAAATAATCATTACTGAGAGACAAGATTCATAATATGATGTAATAGTTAGAGACAATAACCAGGCTTCTAAAATCCTTGATTATATTTAAAAACATTTGCCCATGATATATGGTAGAAAATTCTAGATCTGGATAGATCTGTGACAATTAAGAATGAGAGAAACATTTTTAAAATAACTATAATGATATGTGACTTATGAAAAATACTACAGCATAAAAAAGAGAACATTACTTCGAAGCATCATATTATTAAATAGTGACATTATTGAATTATTCATATCACTGAATATGTCTTTCTATAAAAATTTCAGTAAATATTTGCACAGGTCCTCAAGAAAATGCAAGACAACATGGTGTCCTTTAAACATAAGTCAGCAGCTGTAGGAGAAAACGATTAAGATAAACAGAGATGGAAAAGAAAATATAAATTGTAACAGTAGGATTAAAATTGTCATTGGAGGCAGTAAAAGGAAGCCATGAAACTCCAGGACAGAACTGAGTAGACATAGGAGAAGTAATAGTTGTGCTTATAATGTAAGAATATATTCTTTACTTAAAGCTTTAGTGTAAAAAACTCATCAAGTTTCAGGCAAAATCAATAAAAAGTGATGCACATCCAGGATGAAGGAAAAGTGTTACAAGCATCTAGCAAAGAAAAACAAGATACTTAAAAATGGGAAAAATCAAACTGATATTTCATTTCTCTTGTGCAAAAACAAATGCCAGGAAAAAGAATGGAATAAGATATACAGCTATATGGAAAAAATATTATGAACCCGGGGCCGACCAGGTGGCGCGAGCGGTTGAATGGGCGCGCTCCGCTGCGGCGGCCCAGGATTCGCCAGTTCGGATCCCAAGCGTGCACCGACGCACTGCTTGTCGGACCATACCGTGGCGGTGTCCTGTGTAAAGTGGAGGAAGATGGGCATGGATGTTGGCCCAGGGCCAGTCTTCCTCGGCAAGGAGAGGAGGATTGGCATGGATGTCGGCTCAGGGCTGATCTTCCTCACACACACACAAAAATATATTATGAACCCAAAATTCTCCACTTAGAGCAAGATATTGTAAATACGACGGAAGAGAAGGGCATTCAAGGATGTGCATGGCTTCAGGAAATAAAGATCTATTTCATTGTGAAAGAAATCTAAATAAAGAACTCAAGAATGGAAACAAAATTGTATTTAATAAATTGCTTGGGATTAAGAAACTAGTGGAACATACAGAATATTGCTAAATATCTTGCTAAAATAATTGTGAAAATGAAAACAAATATCAAATAAAGCCCTTCTTATACAGAAAGATATATGATCTATGGAAGAAAATAATAATCTTTGCATAATATAAAGAAGAAAAGTTTAAAATATGAGAGAAACTGGGAGACCGGTGGAAAGAGGAAGAAGGTGAATTTCTCATTTCTTTTCATTTATACCAATATGATAAAACTAAAAGAAAGACATAGGTTCAAATTTGCACATAAAAAAATACACATAACTATGAATAGAAAAAAAATGTATAACCTCCGAATCAGTTGGGGGTGGGGGGAGAGAAGATAGAAAAACATAGGAAAATAAAAGAAACAGCAAGAAAGAATTAAAAACAAAGCTGCATAAACTAAGGTTATGGAAGTAAAACCAAACATATCAGTCATCATCATCATAATAATGGGTTAATTTAACCCTGTTGATAAGACATAAATCTAAAATAAGTTAGACATACAGGTCAAAACTAATTGGATGTACAAAAATATGTTAAACATTTCAAAAATCTTCATGAAGCACACAAACTACTATCTTGAGAAACAGAAGCTTAATATGTTAAGAAGTTTGCCTAATACATGAAAAGACATGAATACTTCAATAGAGAAGCTGACAAAGAACGAGAACTGGAAATTTACTAAAGAAGAAATGAAAGTGATCAATAATTACAGGATAAACTGTTTAGCCTCAGTCATAATAAAAAAATGCAAACTAAAGGCTACTTTGTAATTTGGCACATTTTTAAAAGGATGTTAATACCCATTGCCAGCACGCATGTGGGAAAACAGGCTCTCTCCCACTCTGCAGGGCAACCCGAGCGTAGACCCCAAAAGCGTCAAACGGAGCTTTCCCTTTGATAGAGCATTTCATTTCTAAGAATTTGCCCCAAGTAAAAGCAAGCAAAAATGTCTATATAATTGTTATTTATCATTACACAGCATGGGAGACAACATAAATGTCTAGAGATGGGGGTTTAGTTAAATTCTTCTGATACATTCATCCAATGGAATATTAGCCATAAAAATATAATTCTTGACATGGAAAGGTATTCAAATTATGTAGTTGAGAGTAAAAAAAAAAAGCATGTTTCAAATACCATATGTATTGTGTGATCCTATTTGACTAATAAATACATATACGAGACTTACAGGAAATGATCTTTAAGGATATGCATACATAGTACACATTCATGGTAGAATTATGAGGTTTTCAGGTTTGTTTATTCTGCTGATCTACATTTTCTAGTTTTGCTACACTGCATAGGTAATACTTGTGCAAAAACAATTAAAAGTATATAAAAATTATATATGAAAGAGGGTCATGGTCTCAAATCCTCTGTCATTTGATGGTTATTGGTTCTCTAACCTCAGAGATCATTTTGATTCCTCCTTCTCCCTCTATCTCCTTCAATATCCAAGTGAAAACCATGTTGTTTGGATTTTACTCCTTAAAAAATCCTCTGCATTTCCACCTCTCCCCTCCACCAGCATTGCTCTTATCTTAGATATGAATGCATCATCTCTCACCCGGGTTTTTACAAAGTCCTCTTTACTGCTCCCCCAGCCTCCATCTCTACCCTTCAATCCATCTTAGATGTTGCTGCCTGAACATTTTCCTAAAACATAAATTTGATCAAATCACTTTCTATCTAAAGACTGCACCAACAGGAGGCGGCTCTCTCTCTTCACTCTGACATATAATGACATCTTTGATCTGTCTGTAACCTTCCCGCCT